ACCTGGGTACTTGAGAGACCGTCTTCTGCAAATCACCTCCCATAGACCCATTAGATCCCACAGATTAGGTCTCTTCCGGATTCCATCTACCGGCCAATGCCGGCTGTCGACCACCCGGAGGAGAGCCTTCTCTGTGGCTGCTCCGGCCCTCTGGAACGATCTCCCCGTGGAGATTCGGACCCTCACCACCCTTCAGGCTTTCCGCAAAGCCGTTAAGACCTGGCTGTTCCGGCAGGCCTGGGGCTGATGAGTTCCCAGCCCCTCTCAAATTGTTGCGCCTGTTGAGGAGTTTTAATATGTTTTTTTGTAATTGTTTGTCTTGTTTGTTTTCGTTGTATTACCCCCTTTCCCTATGAGTTTGTTAGCCGCCCTGAGTCCCTCTGGGAATAGGGCGGCATACAAGTTTAATAAACCATTAAACCATTACCTTTGCAGGATCCTTGGTGTTGTCTGGTGTTGCTTGTTTTCTTGCAGACATTTCATTACCCAAACTAGGTAACAGCATCAATGAAGATATTAGCTAGTTTGGGTAATGAAACTTCTGCAAAAAAATAAGCAAGCTCAGAGAGCACCAAGAACTCTCATGTCAACTCTGAACTACAAATATTTTCCTTTATTATCTGTGTTCCCTGAAAGAAACACTATGCAGTTAAATAATAATTATGCTTATTCTTGTTAGGGGAATCAGCTCCATCAATTAAATCAAATGCAGGTGAAGAATCTGTTGCAAATCTTGACAAATTGCGTTTCGCCAATGGAAATGTAAGAACATCAGAACTGAGGCTTAATATGCAAAAAGTAAGTAAGATCTTTGGATTGGAGGATAGGTTTTTAATCTGAATTTGTAGTGCATGATTATTTATTAACTCAATTTCAGAATGTTCTAAATATTTTTCCCAAAAAATTCTACCCTTGACTTTTCCAAATGTAATACCAATGCATCCATCCATAAGCTAAATATTGATAAATTATCAAGGCCTAATTTGATATGGTTGTTGAGTTCAGCAACTTAAGTTTAGTCACAGAGTTCCCTAAATTAAAGTGATAACTCTCTGCTGTTTTAATTAATAATCCATTTGTTTGGGGGCTTTATATGTTATGGTATTATGGTTATAGTATTCTCATGAGTCTTCTGTAAATTTTTAACCTATCCTCAAAGTCCATATTTTATTTTCATGGAGTATCACATTGCCTGTGCAAAGATTGTATAACTATGGTCTTTATAGGTATAGACACAATCAACATTTGAATATCTCTTTAAGGCATTAAGGTTACTCTGCCAAGCATTAATTAATTTTCACTACTGATTCCCTTATAGAGGTCTTCAACTTAATGATTCATTCAAAATGAGAGGAAAAGTTACTTGAAGTTACAGGTGCTAACCCACCCCTGTGATCATATGATAGTATTTTGGGTGATAGCAACTTGTTTGCAGTTATAATCAGTTTCCAAGCATGTGCACTCATGTGATTGCCATTTGCAATCTTCTCTCCTGGCTTCCCAAAAAGTCAGTAGGTTGAAACTCCATGCATGGAGGGGAGGGTGGTAGGGATTGGAGAAATAAAGGTTTTTAGGATTCAAGCTTCTTTTCTTTAGCTGTGTTCCAATGTCTGTCCTCTTACACGCACCCCCACTGCCATCCCCCCTCACCTTGACATAGAAGGGAACTCAAGCTCTGGGCTGGAGAAAGGAATCTTGTGTCCCAAACATTCAAGCTTCTTTCTAGCCTTTTATCACTCAGAAAGTTCAGGATCCAATCTCGGTCAGTCACTAGGACCAGAGGTTTTTTATTTCGAGCTTTTGAACTCATGCTATAGCCCATCTTCAGGGAACTTCTCTCTAGCAGAGTGTGTGCTGTTCTGTGTGTGGTATTTATAGTGCCTGTTGTACATAGCTTTTTAGATGTTGATTGGGGTGCATTGATAGCTGACTTTTAAGTCATTAATTGTCATTTGCTTGTGCAGTCCAGCCTTTTAAGTACTTGATAGACTGATGGAAAATCAACACTCCCGTTGACTGATAAGGGACCTGTGGGGAATCAGTGTGCTGGCCTGTAAGGAAGCTCAATTTTTTGGAATCTGAGTTTCATTGTTCCAGCATAGCATAGTTACACCCTTTATTCCATTTCCTTTATATTTATATTCCATTCCCATGTAACATATATTTAGTATTATTTAAATTGATTTAGAATACTATAATAACAAAAATGCAGGAATACAAAAAATAAACATTGGAATTAAGTTCAGCTTAATCAACCCAAATATTAAAGGAATTCTAAGCCCGATGTGTTTCTTACTGTGTTTAAAATTACCAACTAAGAAAGCTCCCTAGGGAACCTTACGTTAACAAAGGAGAGAGAATGTAACCAAAAATGCTATTCATCAAATTTATTGCATTTAATTGTGTCACTTCAAATTTATTCTCGCTTAATAGGGTAACTAGATACTTTTAGTAACAATTTTGTTAAATAAAGGTATTCCTCGAGTTATGAATGTTCACTTAGTAACTGTTCAAAGTTACAACATCCCCGCCAAATTACTTAAAATCGGATCCTAAAGTTATGTATGCGCAGAACCATAGGGATTGTTGGCCCTTATGAATAACCACAGAGATGCTGCAACATGCTACTTCAGTACCACACCTGAGAGCCCTGTGCTGCCCCTATTTGTCTCCTGCATGACTGAGCGTGGAGCCCTTGCCAAGCCTGACTGAGAAGTGCCGAACTGGCCTCTCCCCTTCCCTGCCAAACCTTAAGCTTTCCCACAAGCGGGCACAACCCTGCCCCACCATTTGCTGAATTCCCAAACCTGTCCAGATTTCACAAATTGTGCAACCGCGGAGCTGGAAAGCTTGACATGCGGCCACCCTGCTCCCCTCACTTGCCAGAAGCACTCCAAGGCCTTTTCCAAATTGCAAGATGGGTTCCTAAACTAACCTGCTTTCCAGTTCCATAGCATTTCTCTCTGCAGCTCAAGATGCTCTTCTTTCACCGGAGAAATCGAAAAAATAAAAATAAAAAAAATGTGCACCAAAGAAGAAGCCTCTGAATGTAATGTAATGTAATTCCCAAATGTGGAGCAGGAGCAAGCAACTTCATGAGCAAATTTGTGAGGCTAGAAAAAAAAGTAAAATCAGCCTTTCCAACTTCTCTTGAAAAAAAGTAAGAACTCACAAAGTTGGAAATGCTGATCTTTTCTTTTTTTTAGGCCCATGAACATTCTTCGTAGAATTGCTTGGTCTCTCCTGTTCCTCATTGGGGAAAGCAACTACTTCGGAGGATTCTTATATATTTTATTATTTTATAGACTAGAGAGTTTGATTCCAAATTGAAAGGGAAGGAGAAAGAGTTAAGAAGAGATGCATGAATAATTATGGTTGAATTAAAAATTAAATAATTCATTCAATTCATAATAATCAAGACAAAATTACCATTAAATATTTTCAAGAAACAACATCAAAGTCTTGTGCAACACCCAAGGAAGTTATAGCTGATAGGCCACCTATACAAATTACAAATTTGATATTTTCAGAAACCTGAGAGAGAATCTATGCAAACCCATTTAATAATTCTACTGAATGAATCTCTTATCAATTTCAAAAAACTTTATCAAATATCTCTGCTTAGTCTTTCAATGAAAATATCAGCGTTCCAAATATCATCCAAAATTAAATCAAGAGTCCAAGGCAGAGCTTTCCTCAAAGTTCCAATTTATTAATAGAGACATGTTGGTACATCTGTGTAAACCCGAATCTGAAAGCTTCCCGGGGTTCCCACCCACTTGAAAGTTCATGATCTTGCCCCCATACCCACAAGTCCATCACATGGTCCAATCTTCCACTGCCATGCTGGAAGTTCCACTCATCCAGTTCTGGTCAGGCTCAGAGGTGTAGAGAACAAAAGATGATCTTGGACTTCTAGAAAGGAATTTTTTATTTTGACAACAACACATTCTACTCCTTACTATTGCCCCTCCCAATTCCCCACAAATGAAAAAGCATAATAAAATAATAGAGAGTGTGGCAGGCCAAAGATCCTAAAAGGAACTGGCTGCAGGCCTGACAGAAAATATATTTAAATTGTTAAAAATCTATAAAGTATGGTCTGAAACCGTGACAACATATAAAAAAATGAGATCTCAGAAAATATTTTTGATATAACAATTCCTGTGTATGGGAAGAAAAAAGTACACTCCTGTTGGAAGCTTTAATAGAATATGAAATATCCATTTTGTATTAATTTAGAGATAACTTTGTGCAAAAATGAATTTAACAATATAATTGGGTAATCGAGCCTCTGAAAAGTTCCTGAATTTGATTCCAATCACCTCCACCTAGGGGCTGAAAATAACTATATATTTGTCTTAAAAGTCTGTGGGTTAACTTTGACATAATTATTTTGGCAAATGTAGAAATTTAAATTCTTACTTAAAGCTATCAAAGAAAATGAATTGAAGTGTATTGCTCTTTTATTCTTTATAGACAATGCAAAGCCATGCTGCTGTTTTCCGTACAGGCCCTGTCTTACAAGAAGGCTGTGAAAAAATGTCCACACTTTATAAAGATTTGGATGATCTGAAAACATTTGATAGAGGTATTGTTTCAATACAAACTTCATAAAACTGTGAAAATTCATACATTCTTTTATCTAATTAACTTAAATGTATCTGCATCATAATTTTATTCAAACAAATCAGACTGGGTCAATTTATCTGCAGAAAAGTAAGTTAAAAATGACCCCAACGGGGATCAGAATTTCCATTGCTAAGCAAAGAAGTTGTTAGATGAAACAGCATGTGACTACACCACTTACTAACAGCAGTTCCAGCAATTCTCACTGCAATTGTTAAACCAGGACCAAGATTATTATTAGGTGTAATGCTCATGCTATTCCTGCCCTACATACTCACCTCTACTTCAATTCTTCACAGCTTCTCTCCCCACTATTTCTGTCCTTTTGGCTCCCTTGCACTCTGCCATCTATCCAAACGGTATTATGTTACCATAATTTACTTGATATCCTGTCACCTGTAACCATCACATTCTTCTTCCTTGACATGCAATCTCTGTTGATGCTGGGCTTGCCACTGCTACCCCAGGCAGGCTCCTGATGGGTGTGCCCCACTTTAGCTGTCTCAGCATGCTGCACATTCCCATGTGTGCACACCCTATCTGCCTATCAGGATTCCACCAGATGCAATTCACTGCCTCCTCCTAGCTTTCAGCCATGGTGCTGCAAAGCAACTGTTCATTCAACAACATGGTGGTGCCTTACGAGATGCAAGAAAAACAAGGTAAGTGCGGTCTGCAGGTCATGACCTGGAGCAATCATAGCCCAGGCAGCAGTCCCCTGCTCAGCTTAGGTTATGCCTCTCTCCTGTCCTGATGTGCCTGTCTGGCTTGTGACAGGACTGTTCTAATCCCCATCCTTACTCCCATCCCACCTCTGTGTCTGCCTTCTCCATTTGTGTTGCTAAAAAAGAAAGTCAGCAATGAATACAAAGTTTTGTTTACAAGACACATGTTTAAGGACAACCCTCTCTGCTGCAGGCTGATTAGGAGACTTGCAGCCAGAGAGATGACAGCAGGCAGGGGCATAGGCAAGAATGTATATAGGATCCCCAGCCATCAGTGGCTGCAGGCTCCACTGCTGATATGGGGCCTGCAGAAGAAAGGGCTGTGTTTAATGGAATGATGTATTTTTTCCTTGTCTCAGACTTTTTTTAGCATATAATTTTTTTGATTGTTTTAAATTATTTTATTTTTTTGTTACATAAACAACACATACCCACAGCAGTGAAAAAAACAAGAAAAAAGAACAAGAAACAAAACAGAAAAAAAAACATCACATATAGCATGTCATTTGGTTACAGGTGTTTTAACATTTATCATTTTTATACATTTATTATTTCATTTAATAAGTATAATATACGGTTTGCTTTGTTTACCATCCCTTCTTCCTATTATAACACCGCCTTATTTTCCCTTTCTTTTCTCCCTTCCTCCCTTCTCTACTTTCTTCCTTCCTGCCCTCCTTTCCCTTCCTTCTTCCTGTACCTTTCTCCTACTCCTGCTCTTCCTCATCCCCTTCCTACCCTCTCTCCTCCTCTTTCTCTCCTTTCCATCCTCCTCTCCTTACCTCTTTCTTTTCACCCTCTCTCCCTTCTCTACTTTCTTCCTTCCTCCTCTCCTTCCCCTTCCTTCTTCCCTTGCCTCTCCTTTGCTCCTACTCTTCCTTTTTCCCTTCCTACCCTCTTTCCTTCCTTTTCTCTCCCTTCCATCTTCTTTTCCTTTTTCCCTCTCTCCCTTCTCTACATTCCTCCTTCCTCCTCTCCTTCCCCTTCCTTCTTCCCGTACCTTTCCCCTACTCCTACTCTTCCTCTTCCCCTTTCTACCCTCTCTCCTCTTTCTCTCCTTTCCATCCTCCTCTCCTTACCTCTTTCTTCTTTCCCCCATCTTCCTTTCATTCTCTCCCCCTTTTTCCCTTTCTTCTTCTACTATTATTGGTGTTTCTATTTTAAATCTCAGTTTATGTTTCCTTGAGATGGTACTTCCTCCAACCCAGATATAATTTAGTATCATTTCTTATTCCCTTACCTTTACTAGTCTATCCCCCCACAGACACACTTTGTATCTCTCTATTGTATATGCATTTATCTATTTGATATACACAACAATTTTTAAAAAATCATGCACTCACAAAAAAAAACACAAGTATAAGTTATAAAAAAGTATATCAGCTGGTTACAACAAGTTTTTGTGCATCTCTTCCATTAATTCATATTAATTCAAATATCTTAACTCAAATGTTTACTATATTAACATCATCATACCTCCACTTTTAGTTGACTACAGTTATTTAAACATCCTTCATCCTTAACTATACCAAAGATTTAATCCATAACCCCATGCTGGCATTTCATTTACTTATTTATAAAATCCTCCATTAACATTAAGTCCTCATATCCTGTTTTAGCTAAACATCCATAATATTTAATACCAAAAATTTCATCCTCCATGTATATAATTTATTATCATTCTCCTTTCTTTCTTTAATTATATCCTATATCATAGCATTTCCCCCCTATTAGTTAAGATTTAACTATATATAGTTTTATTTTTTATTTTTTTATAATAATAATAATTATTATTAATAATCTTTATATATAGTCCAAATATATTAAATTCATTTGCAATAGGTATAGATGAATAAAAATTGATAATGATAGTAATGTATACAATGTTGAGTTGATATGATAAGTAATAATTGGATATGAGAAGGGAAGGCTAGAGCATATAATTTTTATTGAAAATTTCAACAACAATAGTAGTAATGCAAACTCTCAATGAAATGAAATGAAAGAGAAAGAAATTCAAAACTAAAAGTGGAAAAAGGTAAAAGAAAAGAAAAAATGAAAAATTTAAAGATATAAAGAAGTAGTTTCCAATCTTCAGAAAAGTTATAAGTACAATTATATTTTAGTATCTCTAACATTATATCATGACTCTCTTCTTTCTATAATCTATTCTGTATAATCATCAAAAACTTTAAATCTTAAATTCATTTTTTTCTTTTTTATGCAAAAAAGTCCATAAAGGATTTTCAGTCATCACTAAACATAGATATTGCCTTTTATTTAACCAAACAAGTCAGGTTAGCCATTTCAGCAAATTCTGTCATCTCTATTATAGGTATTGTAGATAAAGATCTTCGTGCATTCAGTAATCTTGCAGCTGTTATCAAATGTTATCAATTATAAAAACAATGCTCCATCTTCTGAATCTCTGCATTTGAGTCCCATATTTTTTAATTTTTTTACATCCACCAAGCATGATAAAATTATCCTTGTTCTTATTACCAGCATAAATTTGAAGTACACTTATGCATACTAGATAATGTTTTTAGTATTATATACAATAATATATCATTGAATAAAAATTCTTTTTATAACTATAAATTTTATCCTTTCAACCACTTATTTTCCTATTATTCCCATTTGTATATTATAATCAATGCCTTTAGTCCACTGTATCATATATTCCTCAACTTTTTCATATTGTTTCAAATTGGAATAAACTACATATTTAAGCAACTATATTTTATCCTTGTTCCAGATATCTTAATAAACAAAACTTTTTATGGTATTCATTGCTGATTTCCTTTTTTAAGAACAAAAATGGAAAAGGCAGAGACTGAGATGGGACAAGGACCGGGTCAGGAAGTACACCAGCTCTGTCACCAGTAAAGCAGAATATTTGTAGCTCAAGGTTAAAATGAGCTATCCTTGGTGCTCTCTGAGCTTGGTTGTTTTTTTGCAGACATCTCATTACCCAAACTCGGTAATACCATTAGTGCTCATGATGATGTTACCTAGTTTGGGTAATGAAACGTCTACAAGAAAACAATCAAGCTCGGAGAGCACCAAGGATCCCTGTCACAAGTCAGGGAGGAGTATCTGTATAGAAAATGAGTATAACCTACACAAAGTAGGGCTTTGCTAGCTGGGCTGTGGCTGCTCCAGGTCATAGTCTCTAGCTTGCAACTGTCTCACTTTTGCATACCACTCAGGAGGAGCAACCCCTTATAGAAAAACAGCTATTTTGCAGCACCACAGGCAGGAGGTGGCAGTGAGTTACTTCAAGGCCCAGCAGGCAAAAGCGGTGTGCACTTGGAAATGTGTAGCAGAAAACCCAATATCTGAGACGGCAATGCTACTGAGATAGGCAGGGATCACAAAGGCCTTGCCAATTATGGCAGATCGTGAAGTTCAACTGGGGCAGTGGAGAGTGACAGGTGGCTGAATGCAGGGTGGTCAAAATGGCAGAGCTGGAAGGATATAGCAGAGGGAGGGAGTTGAAATGTATCCTTGGCAGCCCACCTCCATTTATGACTATGGTATGTTTCAGATTGGGTCATGTGATTACTTGCTTTATAATTGTCATGACTTACTACTATAATTTGCGGACTTAATTACAATTGTAAGTTGTTGACTATCTATGCATTACAGTCTTAGCACAGTAACCTTAAATTACAGAAAACAGATTCTGGTTCAAGGTTTAGCAAAATAGTGGGACCAATTACTAAAAAAGTATGATAGATTTGTCTTTGTTGCAGATATTTAAACATAAGTTAAGCAACCAACTGCTCATGTTGCTTTAATTTAGATTCCTCCAGTCCTGATCAGGGTTGAAATCAGTGACTTAATAGAGTTTCTGCCAATCCTGATTTGTAGAAAATTCTAAAAATAAAGTAAGTCTGGCAGGAAGGGCTGAAATTATAATTTATGCAAATTGAAGGTATTTGTGCAAATGTGTTAATACTCTTTTTTATTCATTGGAAAATTATTTTAAGAATGGTTTCTACTCATTTTCATGGCAATTACTCAATCTATTTTGGTATTGGGTGAGTTGCAAGTACTGCAATGTAAATCAGCAATGTGGCACTATATAGAAATGAAATCTTTGAGGCAATCTACAAAGCTGCAACTTTGTTTTCCTTGCCTGCTGCTGCTTTTCATGCACTGACATATCGTAACTTGTTTCTACGCTTGTTTCCATTGATTTGGAAAGCTGCTCAGCTTTTGGAGATTTTTGGTTTTCTTTCTTGCAACCTAGCCACTCCCCTCAACTTATGTATGACAAATTCGCAATTCATTTTCTTACTCAGAAGTATACCTTGTCTTCAATATTTATTGTTAAATATCTTTATCAAGCTGTATTTGAGTCTTAAAGAAGTATTAAGCTTCTTTCTGCTTTCTGTGATAGTATCATTAAATTATACCAAAAGAAGAATCTGGTGAATCTGCTGAAGTTCTTTCTTCCTATAATTTCTAAAACTGCTCCATACTTTTTGTTGTACTTGTAGGTGTTGTTTGGAATACTGACTTGGTAGAGACTTTGGAACTTCAGAATCTCATGCTGTGTGCTTTACAAACTATTTATGGAGCAGAAGCTCGAAAAGAGTCACGTGGAGCTCATGCTAGGGAGGACTATAAGGTACATATTTATTTAGAAGTTATTTCTTCAATTGCTAAAAATAAATACTCTTAGCATAGGCAAGATAAAGTTTGTACTTTTTATAAAGTTATTCTCAAAATTGATTTCTCTGTCAAATAAGCTTTACTTATATTGCATTTAATAGCTTAAGAATGTGTCTAAACAGGCTGTTTTCTATTATAAAAATACATAATGTCATTATCTTGATCATTTTTATGTGTTTCACATTTCTTAGAAGGGTATTCTTTTGTGAAATGGTACAGACCATTGACAAGGAGAATGTGGCTGTCTTCCATGTTTTCCCAAAGAGGCATTTATTACAGAAAAAAATCTACAAACTTATTTTGTAACCTCTAACTAAACATGTATGCATGAATGTCTATATGAATCAATCTATCTATCCATCCATCCATCTATCATGTATCCATCCATCCATCCATCCTGTCACAAAAGTACCATTTAGCTACTTTGAAGTTATGTTGGTTTCTGTTGCCGCTACATGCCTTTCCTTGCCCAGTTTCCCCTCCCCCCCCTCTATTGAGAGGTGAAGGGAAGATGCTTCCCTAGCTGCTTTACTTGGAACACTTACATTAGCAATAGCACTTAGATTTACATAGCATCCCATAGTGCTTTACAGCACTCCCTGGAGGTTTACAGTGTGACTGTAATGGAGCCTGATCCAGCCCTCATATTGCTCTCAACAATCTGGATCCTCATTTTACTGACTTCAGAAGGATAGAAGGTAGAGTCGACCTTGAGCCCTGTCAGGATCCAACTCCAGGCTGTTGGCAAGCTTGCCTGCAATACTGCATTCTAACCACTATACCACCAGGGCTTCTATATCCTGTGATAATATAAATAGTCCTTGTGATGTGCTGTAATGGAGCCTGACCCATCCCTCCAAAGGCTTTCCGCACCTTCGAGATATCCTCATGCTCTGCTTCCTTCCTCTTGGATTCCCACAGATCTTTTCCCATGACCATCAAGTTCCCCAAGTCTTAGGCTTTATTCCTACCCCACCAAGCCAAATATCCCCCTCTAACTTACCTTTGAAGAATGGAACAGGTTGCTTTGCCACTCATGATTCCTGAATCTTGCAGCTCTGAGGAGTCTCATTAAGGCAGCAGAATGGAGTGGTTTGTCCCTCATAAGCTTCTACAAGCAAATGGATGCAAAATTGAGCTGTTTCTGCAAACCCCTACATTTTGCTGTATTAATGAGCTTGCACAATGCTGCAGAGAACTTCTGAAAACAGTAGAAAGCTTCTATAAAGCTATACAAATTGTATTAAGCAACAAAATAGAGTGATTTGTCCCTGGGCCAGACAGCGGTGAATCAAAAGTAGCTGCCATTTTGTTCCCACCCATTTCTGGATGGGGATGAAATGGCAGTCACAAGACAAATTCCCATTTTGCTGACTTAATGAGATTCCATAGCACCACAGCAAGATTCTAGAATCACAACATGCAACAAAACAACCTGTACTATTAAAGGCTTTGAAGCACTTCAAAAGGTAAGTGAGGAGGAGGAGTGTGTAGGCCTGAAGGAGTGGGAACCAGTCTAAGGCTTGCTAGGAATTGTTTGGGGAAGGAAATACTTGCAAGGACTGAGGAGAGGGAAGATAAGTGGGGAAGTGCTTCAGCATCCCTGTGGCTAATCATAAGGGTAAATGACAGTGCTGCAGTGGTGTTTGGAGAGTCCGCTAAAATTCCCAACATCTGTTAAGCAACAATTGTAAATCGAGGACTACCTGTATCTTGAATATCATCAAGTAACAACCTCTGCCTATCTCATATCCTTGGTAAGGACTTGATAAAAATGTTAGATCCAGTCTAAATATGTGGCTGACCGCAAAAAATCATCATCATAATAGAAAGCAAAGATAATACCAATAGTAATAGGCACCCTGGGGCAATCCCAAAATATCTAGAACATCATTTGAACATCACCAGCATTGGCAAAATCACTATCAGTCAATTGCAAAAGATTGCTTTACTTGGAATAGTTTACATCCTGTGTTGATACCTTTAACACTATAAGATAACATCTTTTGCCTAGCCCAATCCTTGGGAAACACTTGATAGGTGGATAAAAATGCCAAATGAAATCTAAATACCCAACTTACTGTGCACTCAATTATAATAATGAATAATTTTCCAACCAATGCACACATTTATGACCAAATTTCATTCACCTCACAACAAAAATCTTTAGTGTCAAACTGTTTACAGTCTACTTATTTTCAGGTAACAGTGCCAAGGGGACAGAGGATTCTAATCAATCAATTGAGGCCACAGAGCTAAGCTTGTTAACTTGCAGTTATCACTTAGTGAAGCACTTGATGAAAACCAGCTTAGGAATAGATAACTTATTTAAGCAATTACTCCACCCTGCACAAACGGGCAACAATAAAAGGAAAAAAAGTGGCTCAGGTACAGGACACTGAATGGATGGCTGCAACCAGTGACCTTTGCAGTGTCTCTGGCTCTCTCTGGCTCTGGTTCTCTGTCTGTCTGTCTTGCTTCTCTCTCCTCTCTAGCTTAGTGACAATTTCACTTCTGATTTAAGAAATGGCATACTATCTTTTGGAAATGTGCTCCAAATATAATTCTTTCACCAGAGCAAAGTGGAGGAGAATAAATACTATAGGCATATCCAGTGCCCATAGCACATACAATGTCTTGATTGAGCCTGAATCTGTAACTTTCCACTCAGACCCAAACAATCCTCAGGCACTAGACAAAACCTTGTCCAATCTGGAGTTGATACATATATATACTATAGACTATGAAAGTAGGAAAACATAGAATTGAGACTTTATATTATGTTCCAGTGAATGGGGTTAAAGTTTTGGGAACAAATATGCAGTATTCTGAATAAAGAATTAGTAGAAGATCTTTTGTTTGGTCACATAAATGGAAGGATGAGAGAGTACAATGAAAGAGTTCAGAAAAAAATATGGGAAGAAAGCAGAACTGCTTATTTTCCTGTGCACTGCTTGGAGTGTCCAAGCATGGGTTAAATTCTGCCACACTGCCCAAGGACTGGAGTGAAATTCTTTGCCACGCTTCCTGGCTTCCTGTATCCTCAGTTTTTCAATTCAGTCTAGCCCATCAGGACACTTTATACTTTAGCTCCTTAATTGAGTGTTTTTCCTCTTTTTTTATAGCGTTTAGTTGCTTTAGAGTATTTTTTGCCTTTATTCCCTTTTTTGCCTAGCACAGTGATGGCAAACCATTTTTGGCTTGCGTGCCATAAGCGGGGGGAGAGCAGGGAGGGTCGTGTAGGGGCATGCCACACCCATAATGCAATGTGCTACACCCCCCAGCGTGCATGCACGCGTGACAGGCGTTTCCCCCCCCCCCATTTTTTGCATACTTTTTTCACCCTCCCCAGGCTCCAGAGGCTTTATAGGAGCCTGGAGAGG